ATATCCACACAGTTCACCCATCATCCCGACTCCTGTCCTTACCCAGTCTCAACCTGAGCCTTCCTTACTTATCTACTTACTGGCCCTACCTGAGCTCCCAACACTCACTAGTCCACTGAGTGCTTCATGTAGATTGCCCACATTTACCTGCTCACCCTGTTATCCTTCCCTGAAGCTACACAGATTTAGTTTCATTTCCTTCACTTCCCTCTCTTCTCCTCCTCACACTGATGTGTCCTCTGTAACTCTCTGCTTGTATTCTACATGGATAATGGTGAGTGTAGAAGGAGACTTTTTGACAGTTTTTTTGCCATGTCTCAATAAGCAGCAGGAGACAGGGAAGGGGTAAATTTCATGAAGAAAAAGGTCAGTGTGTTTTCAGAAGGACTAGTAGGGTAGAGATTTAAAAGAAATGATGGAGATGAGGGGCGGTGTCAGAAAGGCTGGTAAGAATGGGCTTTGTATGTGTATTTGGGGCCAGCTGGTGTTCAAATCATCTTGCCAGTACACGACTTCTTAGGATAACTTTTGAGTGTAAATGTGGCTCTCAGATCATCCTATTTCTGGAGAATCATAGAATGTTAGAACTGAAAGGGAGGGGGGAATTTGGAGATATTCCAGCTAAACTCTTTCATTTTATGGATGAGTGAACTGAGTGCCAGAGAGATGAAGTGGCTTTCACGAAGACACAGGAAATAAATACAATCTAGGAAAGGTTGTTCTGGTAAATGTTTGACCATCAGCTCTCCCCCTCTCCCCTAAAAATGAATGACACACTCTTAAGTTGAATCTGCATTATTAACATTTTCTCCATCACGTCCTTAAGTCTAGAAATCAACAAAACAGTAAATCAATCAGTGATCAGTAGCATTTGTCTGTCTCCAAGGTATAATTTCTCATACTGAAAATTTAACAACCATTTGGGCTCTCCCAAAGCCCAAATGAGCCCATTCCAACATATCACTGTACCTAGGTCTCCAAATTCTCATTATTTTGGTTATTATCCCCTATTTCTCACCTCCTAATGGAATGGGACAATCTCCAAAATTCTCTCCTTTCCTCTGCTCCATGAAACTAACACAAAGCTCTTTGGGAGTGTTTTAGGTTTTGCCTTAACTACAAGGAAAAAATGGGGAAGCAAAAGTAATTCAAGGAGAGTTAGAAAGTCAGGAAACTATAGATTTCTTAAGAGTCTTAATCAAAACTTTCCTCAAGATGACTGTAATTTTGAGTATTTGATATAATAATCAACATTTACATACTGCTCTAAAGATTTGTAAAACATTATACAGATATTTGATTATTTGATCTGTACAACAGACCTGTTATGTATGCTCTTACTCTTCCTATTTTTTCAAATGAGAAAACTAAAGCTGAGAGAAGTTAAGTGACTTGCCCAGGGCCACACATCTGATAAGTGTCTGAGGCAAGACTTGAACTCAGGTAGGTCTTGACTGTAAGTCTGGTATTTTATTATGTCATCTAGTATGGTTTTGTGGATAAAATGTTGGACTTGGAGTCAGAAAGACCTTACTCTATGTGAATCTCACCACTGACATTTACTTGCTGTGTGACTCTGGGAAAATCATTTAACCTCTCTCAGCCTCAGTTTCCTTAATTGCAAAATGAAGAAGTTTGATATGATGACCTCTTAGGTTCCTTCCAATTTAAACTCTATGATCATATGATCCAGTTAGGCATTCAAGAGAGCTAATGCACTCAGGATGCATTGAGAGGCATACGTTCAGGACTGTAGAGGGGATGGTCTATTTGTAGCCTGCCTTAGTTACTTCACATCTGAAATTTTGTGTTTAAATCTGGAAACTAAAGTTTCAAAAGGCCATGGATAAGTAGAGAATGTTCAGAGGAGGGCAACCATGATGATGGATTCATATAGCCTTGAATCCATATCATATGTGAACTGGCTGATATAACTGTGAATGTTTAGTGTGGAAAAGAGAAGACTTTTTGGGGGAGGTGATAGTTGTCTTCAATATTCAAAGGGCTGTCATGTGGAAGTCAACAAGTCAACAAGCATTTATTAGGCACCTACTATGTGCCAGGCACAGTGCTAAGTGCTGGATATACAAAAAAGCCAGAAACAGTCCCTGTCCTCAAAGAACTAAAAAAATCTGATGGGGAAGGCAGCATGCAAGCAATTAAGTACAAACAAGATCTATACATATACACACATATAATTTTGTATGTATATTAGATATGCATTCCATTTGCTCTCTGAGGGTAGAACCAGGAGCAATGAGTTGAAGTTATAATGAGACAAGTTTGGGTTTGATATCAAAGAAAAGCTTCCTAACAATTAATGCAGTCCAAAAGTGGGTTCCCTGGGGATGTTGTAAAAACCCTTTCACTGGAATACAATATACATCAAATATATCCTAGATGACCACTTATTGTGGGATGATGTAGAGAAGATGTGTTTTTATGTATTTGTTGGAACAGCTGATATTCTGTAAATCTATGAAAGAACTTAAGGCTCAGCCTACTCTTACATAGTTTCTTGCTTCTTTCTTGTCTTAACGTTCTGAAAGAACACTGGCCAATCTCTCTACATCTCACCCTTCAAATGGGAAGCATTTATCCTAGGTCTCTCCCATTGTCTTCTTTCACAGCAGAACTCAAGGGATAAGAGAATGGGACACAGCAGTGCTACAGTTGGGTCTTTGAGTACAAACAGGACTCAAATGAGATTTATCTATGTCTACAGAGCATTCTAAATGCTTCATTTTTATTTTAATATTTCCCTCCTTCAAAAGAAAGTAATCTCTCATTTTCTAAAAAAAAATGACAAAAATGTGTGGGGGAAGTCTAGCCAGGGTCCTAAGTTCATGATGATTATGGACTCTGGTGCATAAGTAAGGGAATTTTTTTAATCATTTATTTGTCAGTCTAGTTAACCATATGTAGTCCATCCTCTAGACTCCAAGAAAGATGGTTGTCTTGGCTCAATTCAGCCCGACAGGAATCTGAGCTCAGGGAAACTTATTTGCCCTACAATCTCTTTCATGTTCAGCTTGTTCTTCCTTTTATATACTTTTATTTGTACTGCTACAGGTGAATCCATTCCCTGGGACATAAACATCAGCTGAGGCTTGTTTTTTTTCCTCACAGGGATCCTGGACTTGAGGAGATGATGGTACCCCACAATTCACTACATCGCCTATGGATCTGACATCTTGCTCCTCTGGACTCAGGGTGTCAGGGCTATGGATGCTTTTAGGGTCCTTTGACCACATGGACAGAACAAGAAGGAATGGGCTGAAACTGCAGCAATGTGGGTTGGAGTTGAGGTAAAAAGTGCTTCTTCACAGTAAGGGGAATGGGGTATTGTGTGGTCCTTCATTTCTTTCTTCTTCCCTGCCCCAAGCTGCAGGCACTAACTGGCTCTGACATGAACTGGGTTGGATGGGGTGGTAGGAAGTGGGGGCAAAATGGCTGGGGAAAGGAAAATTTTCCTTGATTGTGTGAAGTGTATGATTCCATGTATGTTTGCATGTGATTGTCAGTATACCTGTTTGTGTGCTTCTTTGTGTATGTCTGTGTAGGCATTTGTAAGTATGTATATGTTGCTATATGTATCTCTGTGTATATTGTATGCAAATGAATATTGTTTGTATGTCCTGGGATGGTCAAAAAAGGAGGAGGACATGTAACAAAGTGTTGGGGGTTCTTTATGAAGAAGGTGGGTAGGATTGCTGTTGTGTTTGGAAGCAGCCACATTGGAGGTGAACAATGTTCACCTTGGAAACACAAGGGCCAGGGATAATATTCCCTAAGGACAGATTTAATAAGGACCAAAAGATTGCCTTGATTCCTAATATCTCCCTAAATCCTATTGTTTGAAGTTCCACCTTGGACCACTGCTTTGGTCAATGTCCCGCATTAGATAGATCAAGCATTTATTAAGTGCTTACTATCTATGAGGTGCTGTTTTAAGTGCTGGAGATAGGAAACCAATAAAACAAGATAGTCCCTGCTCTCAAAGAGCCTACCTTCTAATAGGGGAAGGAAACACATAAAAGAAAAATTAGAAAACTGGGGGAGATGGGGGCAGGGTGGATACTAGGGGGAAGGGAGCAATGTGGCTGGATTTCTAATGACGTGGAACAACTATCATCTAGTCAGGCTCTGGGTGGAATCATCCTCAAGGAAGAATGAGGGATAATTTATAGGTGAGGCAGACTGAAGAGCAAGCTGTAGGGGAAATGAGCAGTGTGGTTGGACCTTCTGATGATATGGCAAGTACTTCATTATTGTCACTGGATGCATGAGCACAAAGCAATTAGCCTTACCAGGTTAGACTAGATCCCACAGTATAGATACTCTTTGTAAGAAGCATATCAGTCATTGAATTATACAGTAGGAGTTTGGATGCAGGCTAGATGACTTCTGAAGCAAATACTTGGATTAAATTAGGATAATTTTCTTCTTAAAAATTCTATTTAACAAATATTTATTAATGCCTGCTATGTGTTAGGTACTGTGCTACTCCCTGGGGATATAAAACCACAATCAATAGTGTCCTTGCCCTCCAGATGCTTACATTCTTTTGGAGGGGTATATGAGTATGTATGTGGATACAATACATACCATTTCTCCTTTTTTAAGAACACATATCAGAAATAGTAGTAAAACAAATTTGGAGACTAGAATTCAAATCAAAATTTATTTTATTCATAATTTTAAAAATCATACCTAACATGTAAAACAAAACTTTCTTGTTCAGAGATGCTGAATAAGTTTTTGAGAAGGGGAAAGGGTCACTTTCTTTTTCTTTTTCAATAAAGGGAACACTTTGTAGGGTGCCCTTAATATTGTATTTTTCTTTTAATGCCTTGAACCTCCTATAACTCAATTTATGTGCCACCATATGTCTCAATGATAGACTGTCAAATGGATTCCCCTACTCTCCTATCCCCTGACACCTCTTCCTTCTCTTCCACTTATGCTTTGGTTCTTTCTCTGCAGGTAACATGTACAACATGAAAGATTCCAATGCCACCTTTGTCAACCCTGTATATTTCATCTTATTGGGAGTCCCTGGTCTGGAATCTGTACAGCACTGGATGGGGATTCCATTTTGCATCATGATCTTCCTTGCTCTTGTGGGGAACTGTACTATCTTGTCTGTCATCTGGAGGGACCCATCACTCCACCAACCCATGTATCTTCTCTTGGCAATGTTGGCCATAAATGACCTTTGCATTTTCCCTGTCCTGTTCCCTAAAACTTTGGCCATCTTCTGGTTCAACCTCAAAGAGATTGAATTCAATGTCTGTCTGACCCAAATGTTCTTTGTGCATGCTCTGGCAGGGTTTGAAACTGGGATCCTGGTAGCCGTGGCATTGGATCCGGATATGTAGCCATATGCCGGCCCCTGAGGTACACAGCTATCCTGACTCCTCAAGTCCTGCTGGGCATTGCAATTGTAGTAGTTATGAGGGCTGTTCTTCTCATCTCCTTCTGTCCCATCCTTATCAAACTGAGGCTAACATCTTTCCACTCCACAGTAATAGCTCATTCTTATTGTGAGCACATGGCAGTGGTGAAACTGGCTGTAGGTGACACTCGAGTCAACAAGTTCTATGGTCTGGCCGTTATCCTGAGTTTGTGTTGGTGTGACATCTCCTTCATCTCTACCTCCTACGTTCTTATCTTCAGGGCTGTCCTGAGGCTGCCTGGGAAGGAGGCCAGGGTCAAAGCAGTCAACACCTGCACAGCCCACATCACCATTATTGTGCTCAGCTACTCACTGGCACTGTTCTCCTTTCTGGCGCACCGATATGGCCACCATGTAGCTCCCTATGTCCACATTCTCCTGGCCAACATCTACCTCTTAGTACCTCCTGTGGTGAACCCTATTGTCTATGGAGTGAAGACTAAGGAGATCCGCATTAGAGTGATCACCATGTTCTCCCTTCAGAGACAAAGGCTTAAATTTTAACTCATCTATGTAGCAGAAATTAGCCCATGAACTTGACAGGCATTTGAACTTTGTCCCTGGAAGAATTTCTATGCCTATTTCTAAGAAAAAATGTCTAAATATTGGATTCTGAGTGATATTCTGAAAGGCAAAGCACAACTCTTTCATTCCATAATACTGGGTTTACATAGTTTGAAATACTATGACTACCTGCCTGGTTTAGGGACACAAAAACACTTATGAATTTTTGCAAAGGGTCAAGAATTTAGAATTAGAAGGATGTCAAATTGAGAATCTTAGGGACACTAGAAATAAATTCCCCCAAGAGGGCAAGGACCTCAAATTAACATGGTAGCAGAGTGGTGATGAATTAGGCAGAAGGAAGGGTGATTAAGATCTTGGAGCAGCATCTATCTAAAGAATGAATAGGAAGTACCAATAAGAAAAACTCTTAAGACAGGAGGATTCTTGGTATTGAGTCTATCCATGAGTGAACATTTCAGATCAGACAACAGTGTGTGAGAGGATAATGATTAGGATAAATGGAATGATGACAGAAATGGTCAGTACTCACTTCTCTACTGAGCTCATGGTGGTGTTATGTGAAAGAAAAGGAATAAAAATTATGATCTTGACCCCAAGGATGTGGCTCAAAGTCCTTCTCCCCACTCTTTTTTTTCTTCTTCAGAAGAACCCAGAAATGACATGCAAACCAGCTCTGTTAATAGAGACATTTCTTAGTAAAATTCACACATACGGGAGCCTTGTGTTTCTTGTATGGTGGAAGTGGTAAATATTGAGGTCACTGATCCTTCAGAGCCTGAACATTTGGTGCTTTGTTGTTCATCTTTATGGTAGCCCAGCATGTCTCTGTGGATCATGACTTGGTCTAAGTTGGTGTATAGGTCATGCTGCTTCATAGCCCAAGCAAATTGTTCACCAGAATTGGAATTAGCAATGTTGAAAGCTGAAAAGCACAGCTTGGAGCTTCTTGTCTCAAAAGTAATAGCTGAGATATATTCCTGATTCCCTGTCTCTTGTGAGAGTGGGAGGTTTTGGGTTCATTCAATGTATACTACCAACATTAACAAAGATTCAACATCTCATTTTCTCATCACATTGGACATAATCACAGAATGTCAGATCTAGAAGGAACCTCAAAAATGATCAAGTTTAAACTCATCCTTGAAGCAAAATCCTCTACATTTCAACCAATCAAGAAATGGACTTTCATTTCAGGAAGCTGTTTGGGATCATTACTCAATTTTCCAAATGTAATTTGTACTGTTCTCTTCACATTAAAATTTGGACCCAGCTCATCCTTAGAGGCAGATCTGATTAATTGAGAAATAATTCATCAGGTCTATCTTTTTTTTTCTTGTCCATATCTATGATTGATTCAGTGTCTCTATCCCAGGATGTAGAAATGCCTTTCTCTAACAGCAATAAATATCATGTGATGATCAGCTATGAATGATTTAGCTATTCTCAGCAATACAATGATCCAAGACAACTCTGAAGGATTTATGATGAAAAATGTTATCCATCCCCACAGAAAGAACTGATGATGTCTGAATGAAGACTGAAATATACTTTTTTTAAACTTTATTTTTCTTGAGGTTTTTTTGTCTATGTTTTCTTTTACAACATGACTATTATAGATATGTTTTGCATGACTACGCATGTATAACCTGTATCTAACTGCTTGCTTTCTCAGTGAGGAGGGCTAGGGAAGGAGGAAGGGAGAGAATTTGGAACTCAAAATTTTAAAAAAATCTTAAAAATTGTTTTTATGTGTAATTGGGGAAAAATAAAAATAAAACACCAAAAAAAAAAAAGAAATGCTTTTCTCTAATGTAAATGGCAATTCACTTATAACTTATAGTTTCAGAGAGCTTCCTGGGAACACTGAGAGGTTAAGTGATATTATCCAATTCAAATATCTATCCTATTTAAATTAACATTATGGTATTGAAATTAAAAAAAAAACTAAGCATAAAAACTTTAGGAAAGACTACATTAAATATTATACATTTATCATTAAGTTTAGAGAAATAAATACCCAAGGATGGTCCTTAAAAAAACCCCATGCCTGGAAAGATCCCAGGATCTGGAATTTGGATCACTTGATTCACTTACTAGCTATGTGACCTTGGGCAAATAATTTAACACCTATCTGCCTCAGTTTCCTCATCTGTAAAATGGGGATAATAATAACCTCCGTTTCCCAGGGTTATCATCAGGATCAAATGAAATATTTCCAAAATTTTTTGTAAACCTTAAAGTACTATATAAATGTATTTATTGCCATTGTTATTATCATTATCTTCATTATTATATCCAACTACAGTATTGGAAGCACCTAAGTCACATCATGGATAGAACACTGGAACTGAAGTCAGGAAGACCTAACTTCAAATCCAGCCTGAGATGCTTACCATCTGAGTGATCCTGGGAATACCACTTAAGTTTCATCTGCTTCAGGTTTCTCATTTGTAAAATGGGGATAATGCTATCACCTACCTCCCATGGTTGTTGTGAAGATAAAATGAGATAATATTTGTAAAGCACTTTGTAAAACTTAAAGCATTATATAAATGTTAGCTATCATTATTATAGTTATAATTGTCCCTAGACCTGACTGTAAGGCTTCTTTAAAAAAAATCACAAACTTAGAAACCATAAAAAAACTTTTAAGTAAACACTCCCTTTTTATAAAATGATTATACATGAGATCATAATTTACAGTTTGGTAAAAACTTATATTTAACAAGATGGTAATAAAAACTTAGTTGCTTTCTATGTCTCCTTTTGAATTCTTTCTTTTCAGTGTATTTTTTCTGTGATTTTGTGCATATTAAGAGTTAGTGTGCATATTGTGACTGTTTTGCTTCCTTTACTATGCATCGCTTCATGTGTCTTACTAACATTCTTATTTGAATTATTATTCATCATGATACGTCAATATTCCTTTATCTTCATCCACTCCAACATGTTCAGTCATTCTTCAAAAGTAGGATCAATGTGTTGTTTATAATTGGTTACTTTATTTTTTTTTAATGAATGATGGTGCTGTGAATGTTTTTGTCCAGTCAGTATTTTCCCCCCTGTGTTTGACCCCAATATGGGGTCAAAAGATATGAATAGTTTTGTAGCTTTTATCCTGTGCCACATTGCTTTAAAAAATTTATAGCTTCACCCTCAATGTAATGGAGTGCCAATCTCTGTATAGACATACCAACATGAATTTTGCCATTTTAAACTATCTTTCTTAATATGATGGGTTGAAGCCAGCCTGTGTGAGCATTTATACTTTATCAATTGGCAAACACTACAAATTATGGCTTGATTCATTGTTTTATTCATTGTCTGGAGTTGTCAGTGATGGGAAAAACATTAAAAATGAATATTAAACCTCAAAGTGTGCCAAACTGATTGTTAAAACATTTGCCATTACATCCCTAGTTTACCAAGAAAACCCCAAATGGGGTCATGAAGCATTGGACATGACTGAAAAATGACTGAACAACCAAAATATGTACTTATATTTTCCCTCAAACCACTCTGGGCTCTGATATGTAAGCTTTTGCCTTATTTTGCTGGGAACCAGGCCTTCATGCTACCTACATCTCAGTAATTCCTACCTTATGTTGCCTGCATCCCTTTTATTCTCTTTCCCCCCACTTCAGCTTCTCTTTTATCTTCCTCCATTAGAAGGCAAACTTCTTGAGGGAAGGGACTATCTTGCTTGCTTGTATTTGTGTCTTCTCTGCTAGTACGGTGCTCAGTACAGCTTAAGTGCTTAATAAATACTTTGTCTGTCTATCTATCTATCTATCTATCTATCTATCTATCTATCTATCTATCTATCTGTCTGTCTGTCTGTCTGTCTGTCTATCTATCCATCTATCTATCTCCATCTCTACATTCCTGGTACAAATTCTGCTAGTTGAGAATGTTTGAAATATTGCTGAAACAATCCACTATTTTTGAATTATCCCTGCCTTAATCCCACTTCCAAAAAAATGAAACTGTTTGGTGCTGATCAAAAAATTAAAAAAATGTTGATTAATGGCATGGATTTGGTATATTACATACAAAAGCAAACATTATGTTCCACAAATCCTGGGGTAAGGGTTCACTATTTGACAAAAACTTCTGGGAAAACTGGGGAAGTCTAGCAGAAATCAGTGTTAGATGAATAGCTTACACCGCATACCATAAGTTCCAAATGAATATATAATTTAGATATAAAATGCCACGTAATAAACAATAGAGAGGAGAAAGGAAGAAAATGCCTTTTGCAACTATGGAAAGAGGAGCAATTCAAGACCAGCCAAGAGACCAAGATCACAGAAGATAAAATGGATGATTTGAATTACATAAAGTTGAAAATCAAAATCAATAATTTAATATGTTAAAATTAGGAGAGAAATAGTTAAGCAGGAAAAAAAGTGTTTGCAGTGAGTTTCTGATAAAGATCTCATATCCAAGATAAATAATGAATTGATAAAATTCACAAGAATAAGAGCCATCTCCCAAAAGATAAATGGTCAAAGAATATGAATAGGCAATTCTCAAGGGAAGAAATGCAATATAAAAATGCTCCAAATTACTATTAATTAGGAAAATGCAAATTAATACAATTCTGAAGTTTCATCTTATATCCATCAAATCAGCTAAAATAGCTATTAGAGGGGGAAGACAAATACACTGGCAAACTGTTGGTGGAGTTCTGAAGTGATGTAGGCATCCTGAAATCATTTTGGAACTAAGCGCCCTCCTTTCCCCCAATTCATTAAAGTGTACTTATGTTTTGAAAATTAAATGATAGCGACATTAGGCCTATACTTCAAAGAGATAAAAGGGAGGAGAAAAAAGTGCTTCTAGAAGTTCTTAATATAGTGACAAAGAACTGCAAGTAAGATGCTCGTTAAGTTAGGAATGGCTGAGCAAATTATGGCATGTGAATATAATGGTATATTGTTTCAACATGAGAAATAATGAAATGGATGGTTTCA